TAACATAGTCTACTACAATGTTTACTGAATACAACTGAAGCACAACTTAAATAAAGAAGGAGGGTCAAGATCGGCAAATGCCATGCAGATACCTCAACAATCTCCCAAGCCTGCAGCATCGATCAGTGACTGCTATCAGGACAGAAAGCACCTGGATCTGCACATAAGGTGCAGGGGGTAACGTGAGTACACCAACTCAATAAGTAACAAGTCCAACCTATGGACTAATAGGTAGTGATGAACCTAAACTCACAGAGAATAGAAATAAGTTGTGCAGTAAAGTAGGCATGCTATTCTTTCAGGAATACAGTTCAACAGCGAAATAAATACAGATATGAACAATGTAAAATATAAGGCTCTGCTGACTTGGCATATCAATGCACAGAATGTATGAAATGCACCATGTGCTCCCACTCTCGAGTGCTTAACCACTCGGTACTGCATATGGCCATCCGACCCAGGGAAATCCGTCCCGGAATATATACAACGGTGACTGCAAGTCATCCAATGCCGAGGAACAAAGGTAATCCAACCCTAAGGAGAAATCCATCTCCAGGTATATATGTATACACACTCAACCACTCGGTACCGATATGGCCATCCGGCCCAGGGAAATCCATCCCGGAGCATACTCAACAATGAGTAGACGTCACTCGGTACCAAGGAAAAAGGGAAATCCATCCCTGTGGAGAAATCCATCTCCATATATCAATACTTCGGACAAATCTATGTCCAGGGAAATCCATCCCTCAATAATATCATCCGCACTCACTGGGGGTGTGTAGACTCCGGAGGGGCTCCTTTCAGCCCAAGCGCTATAACAAGCCAATGAAGGCATAATAAATAATATGCTGCGGGGTGTAGCCCGACCCAAAACTGTCACTCATTATCAGGCTCTAGGCCTCTCTCAGTCATCACTCTCCAGTCTCACCCACGGCTCACAATGCCATGAAAACTAGCCCGAAACAATGATATGAGGTGCCAACATAATAACAACTGAGACTGAGACATGATATGATATGCAGGAACAAGACTGAGTACATAATATTAATGAACTAGTGAGATGACAGCAAGAAACGACCACTCGGGTCTCAACAGTATCGACGTGAAGCCCTAACATGATAATTAGCATGATCTACAGCTCATCTATTTAGTCACATAATAAAACACGGATATCGGCAAGAAAGAGCCATTACGCAGTGCCATGGAATGAACCAGGTCACAATTCTCACGGTGCACGCCCACACGCCCGTCACTTGGCTGCGTCACCTCAATACAATCATATAGCACATAGTTCGGGGTTTCTAACCCTCAGAATCAAGTTTGGAAGCGTTGCTTACCTCAACCAAGCCAAAATCCTACTCCGCGATGCCTTTGCCCCTCAAATCGACCTTCGGACGCTCCGTATCTAGCCATAAACAATTCGATACAATCAACACGAGCTAAAGGAGTCAATCCCATAAGAAAATGCTAAGCTTAAGGCCAAAAGTCAAAAAGTCAACTAAAAAGTTGGGCCCCGAGCCCTCGTCTCGAAATCCGGCCAAAGTCACGAAATCCGTCAATCGGCTTCCAAATCCCAAAAGCTCAAATTATGAGGTTCCACAAATTTTCCCCAATTTTCATCCCAATTCTCTAATCAAATGATGGATTCCATGATATATTTATGTATTTTAGCCTAAACCGAGTTAGAATCACTTACCCCGATGAATTTCTTGAAAAACCTTCAAAAAATCACCAAAACCCGACCTCTATAGGTCAAAATATGAAAATAAAACCCTGAATCTCGTATTTATAGTGCATCCCTCGGATTCAAATCTCGAAAACCCCGCAGAATTTTTACCGCGGCTGCGAACGCCTCCAGTTCCTGCGGTCGCGTCCCTTCTTCCGCTGTCCGCACCAGCCCACACCGCTGACCACGGAAACACTGCCGCCCCTGCAAAGTCCCTCCGTCGACCGCGAAATTCCGGCACGGCCCGCACTTCCAACTGCATAGACCAACATCAGCAACACTAGCAGCTGTTTTCAACAGCTATACCCATCCGATAACTACTTGAAATACACCCGAGGGCCTCGGGACCTCAACCAACCCCACCAACACGTCCCATAACATCATTCAAACTTAATCGAATCTACGAAACACTTAGAAAAACACCAAACATCGAATCAAATCTCGGATTCAAGCCTAAGAACTTCAAACTCCTAAATTCCACAAATGACTCCGAAACCAATCAAACCTTGTCCGAATATTCTCAAATTTTGCACGCAAGTCACAAATGACCCTACGAACCTAGTGCAACTTCCGAAAATTCCATTTTGAGGTCGTCTACACATAAGTCAACTTCCGGTTGACTTTTCCCAACTTAAGCTTCTAAATAGGAGGCTAAGTGCCTCATTCCACACCAAAATCACTCCGGGCCCGAATCAACCAACATGATACGATAAAACACAGCTGAAGAACACAGAAGAAAACAGAAACAGGGAAAACAGAGCTATAACTCATGAAACGACCGGCCGGGTCGTTACAAATGCTGTATAGAAGTAGAAGCAAATGTTGTCAAATTATTTCAATTTGTCAAAATGAAGCATGCTTCAAATATTAGTTGTGGCCAGAACGCAGAAATTAGTATACTATATGTGAATTCTTCTCTTTTTTGCTTAACTTCAGTGAATTGTCATCTCTTTTTTGCTTAACTCTAGAATGAGTTATCTTATCGGGTAAATCGATAATCGAACCGATAATGGTCGATAACAGATTAACCGATAACCGATAACCGATAACCGATATCTTATTGGTTCTATTATCGGTTTACCATATTTGTAAACTGATAACCGATACGCTAAACCGATAATATTTACAACCAAACCGAACCGAACCGACCGATGCCCACCCCTACTCCCGACCCTATTTTGCAATGTTGAAATTTAAATTCTAAAATTTGTTCAGAATTGTACAAACTTTTGGCATGCATTTCTTTTGTCTAGATTTGCGGATCAAGAACTTTTGGGCCCATTTCGGGGGCCAATATGAACTAGGCTTTTAGGATCAGAACTCACCTAAATCCAGTCCAAGCCCAAACATAATCTAACGAGCCTAATTCAATCGTTTTTGGCCCGCAAGCGAAATGATGCGAGAGTCGTTTCATGATCCGACGGTCAGCTGCGAGGCCACTCCTCCCCATCCTTTCCGGCGAAATTCAGTTGTAAGTTCCCTTCTCTCTCTATGTTCTTCCACTTTTCCCGTGTGCAACTGCTACTCTGCTTCCACTGGATTGTGAAAGCATCACTTTTGACTTTTTGTTATAGTTCTTCGGACATAAAATTAATTATTCTATGTTATAATAAATTTAATTTGTTTACTTTTTCCGATTATCACAGACACTGGTTTCAACCTCTAAAAAGTTCAAACCCAAGCAGTTAAGATAGTTTTGTTTAAAAGACCTCGTATATTCAGATTATGAGCCATTTGTGTTTTAGTTAGTAAATTAGGAAGCTTGATAATTAATCTCTCTAACAGCTAATAATTATAGTGCACCAATTATTCTGGAATTTGGATTTTTACCCTATCAATGAGCCCTTTAAGTTAGTAGATTATTAGAAAATATGATAGTTAATATTTATAACAATATATTAGAAGTGCGGGTTAACAGGTGAAGCATGGTGCTCTTTGTTAACATCCCTGCTTCCCTATAGAGGACATCTTAGTAATTTAGCTCATTACTGTATTTAAATTGTCTGTTATGCAATTCTGATGGTGGATTTCAGCAAGTTCAGGAAAGGATTTCTAGGTAATTTCGTAGTTATTCCTTGACGGTCGCTGCTTTAGATTTTGATTTATACTTCTGCTTTGCTTTGTTTCCTCTTGTTCTCCAGCTATGTTCCTCTCTCTGATTTTCGCTTCAACTTTTTCTTGGAATTTTAAAGAAAAAATTAATTGAGTGTTATGGTGTCTGCTGATTTCGGTTCTGTTGTTGGTGATTTGGTTCGTTTCTGTTACTGGATTTTCCTGAATAACAAAGCGGTTTGTTCACCTTCTTGGTATATTGGGAGAGGATGTCACGTTACCCTTGTAGTTGTAAAGGAAAGCATATATTCCATCTCGCAGATATTTGGGAAGAGTATTTTCTTTGCTAACATCCTTTCCATCAGTATGTTTCTCTCTTCTCACCAGCATTCAACCTTGCGATAAACGATGAGTGGCATACCTTAAAAGATGAGATTTGTCATTGCCATGATTTTGTACATACATATATGTTAGTAATACTATAGAAGCTTTCTATATATCCACAAGATCAAATAACAAAGAAAGTAAAAGGTAATGGAGAATATCATCAACAACTAACTCATTTAATTAGGTAATTAAATAATCATTTATTATACCCCATTCCCCCTTAAGACGCAAAAAGGAAAAACGATATTGGAATGTCCCAGATTCATTTTCCAAGAATTTCTTTACATATGCCTCCAACAATGATCTAATTGCAAAACCACAAGATACAACAAAATAAAGGCAACATCAACAACTCAAAAAACAACTTATTAGAAGAAACTTCCAAACCTGTAGTTCATCATGACCCCGCGCATATTTTTCATAGCATCTTTCAATTTCTCCATTCGCTGAGCATCAAGGATATTATTCTGGTGAATCCATATTTTTTGCTACATTACTACCTTTGCCACTAGATTTGATCTTTTCACCTGATATGCCTCGATCATTCTTCAAATCTTCCAGCTAGAACAGTATAAAAAATCAATGCAAACAAGTTGAGTATTTAAAATCAAAAGCTTGAACGCTTCACTGCAAACAACAAAAGATGGGTAGACGAAAGAAGCAAGCAAACATGAAAATAATACTGGCATAAGTCATAACTAGCTATATCCATTCTTTGTACTCTTTCCAGAAAATACAAACCAAACCACCAAACTTTTAGATGAACAAGAAGCATGAGAAATGAAGTACATATAGCAAATATATATTTTCATGAAGTTTCATCATACATAAAAATATGTGAATATATATAGTATTCCTCCAGTTGTTCTTAACCCCAAAGAGGAAGCCACTCCCCACGCCTCAGCTAGAACTTTTTTGCACCTATTGTTACCTCTCCCTTTAATGCTAAGGGGATAACACAAAAGGAACTGACCTGTGGTGCACTAATTTATTTGAGTTCCTTTTCTGTTTGCTGGGTTCTAACTCTATTTTTTCTGGGTTTTTTTGGGGGGTAATAAATGAAACCAAAAAAAACTGAAGCTTTAGTGGGCACAATTTAGCCGATTAAGAGGGACCAACACTGCAGTAGTAGCCCTGAACTAACTGAAGCAGATTGAGGCATTAAGCTCAGGGAACGACAAAGAAACTCTTCATTAAGCAAACCAAATTCAGTGTTGGGTAGTACTTGCCTTACTTTGGCATTTTGAGGTATTAAGCTAGGTGAAAAGGTGATACGCAAAAGCTCTTTACCAAGCAAACCATATTCAGGCTTCATAACCAAGCTGGGTATACAATTCCCTCTAGGCATTAATAGTTTTCCTATATTAACACAGGAGATGTTAAATTGCTGTGCTAAACAACAACAACAACAACATACCCAGTATTATCCCACATCGTGGGACCTGGGTAGGGTAGTGTGTACGCAGACCTTACCCCTACCTTGTGAGGATAGAGAGGCTGTTTCCAATAAAGGCTCATCGTGCTGTGCTAAAGGCTCATCAAATGTTATTGACCATCAAACTAGCCACGGGACTGTATTTTTCTATTATTAAGTGCTCCTCGCCTACACAACAGATTAAGGGAAAAAAACAGACAGGTATGTTTGGTCTTAGAAGCTGAGTCACTTTGATCATATTTTTCTTAGAGATTACTAATTTAGGAATATTCATTCAGCTATTGAAGTTCTCTATGCAGTTGTGCTCTCTTATTTTTCTTACTTTGGCTAATTGTTGCACATAAAATCAAATAAGTTAATTCAAAATAAAAAATAGAGCAAGATTTTTGTCGGCTTTGAACTATTACGGCTGATCATAACTTCACATTGAATTATTAAAAATAATGTTTTCAAAATAAATTATTATTTCAAACAACAAAAATCAACTTACAATTATAAGCTCCTTTAAAAGCATGAGTCTTTTTCATTTTAAACACTGAGATAGATTAGTCTTTTTTTGTGTGGATAGATTGTCTTTCATTGTGGGTTCAACTGTATATATCAATACACATATAATTTGTTATAAAATTCTCTCTCTTGCTGTATTTATTTAAAGTGGAGTTATACAAAAAGAGATTGCATCTCCAGTTTGAAAAATAAAATGAAAAGGCTTGAATCCTTGAGTAGAGTATTCCTATAGCTAGATTCTGAAGTGTTCTTTTTTATACTGTTATGAACTTGATTTATCATGCCCTTTGACTGTCAAGTAAACACATAAGCATTTAGAGCATTGTCTTAAGCAGTTTCTGAAGCATTTGAATTTGGTTATGCTAATTGGGCCCTGGCTCAGCCCAGGCTAACCCAACTAGTAATTATAGAGCTCACTGAAGGTTCTTCTTAGTGCTCTATACGTCTTTCAAATGTTGAAGATTTTCCATAGGTTCGTTGTAGTGTGTGGCCGGAAGCAGTTGTTCATTGGTTTTCCACCGCATGAAGGTTCAAGCTAAAAGAACATGATTGTGAGAGGATGTTGACATACATTTGGTGGGTTTGACAAAGTAGTACAAACTCACAGAGTCTTTGACAGTTGCTAAATTGATTATTTTCAGTATTTCGTTGTTGGAAGCACTGCAATCTGCTCGTTGAATGAGAGTTTAGTTGAGATTTCTTTTGCTGTATAATGTTATGCCTAGTAGTATCATACGGAGAAACCTGTTATGCATTGTTTAATGTGGCTTGACATTCTGCAGTCACTTTGCTCTTTCTGTTAGTTCATCCTATGTTAAGTGATAATGGTTTGCTTTTATTATGAGACAACGACTGAGACGATGCCCTTTGCCATCTTAAATTTAAGCCTAAGCTACAAAATCAAGTCCCATGTAGTGTTACTTCACAAAAAGGTTGAGATAGCTTGTGATATAACCAAGTTGTTTATTATTACAAGCAGTTAATCTGATCAGCCTTTACGTGATTTTGTTCTAATGAGTATAAGTTTAATTTTCTAATATATTTCATCTATTTGATGCAGCTCAATTTCAGATGGAAGAAGCTTCTCTTGATAGTGAGGTAGATCTTACTGGGCAAGGCAGTGGGAGATCGCAAGAAATAGAGTCAGATGGGTTAGATGACCAGAACAGTGAGCAAATTGAGTCAGATGAATTATTTTCTCAAAGTGGTGGGCAAATAGAGTCAGATGCATTAGATGATCAAAATGGTTTTACTGATGGGCAGAAGCAATTTGTTGCCCCAGCAGTAGGAATGGAGTTTGAATCGTATGATGATGCTTACAACTATTATAATTGTTATGCCAGGGAGGTTGGTTTTCGTGTTAGAGTAAAAAATTCTTGGTTCAAAAGAAATAGCAGGGAGAAGTATGGTGCAGTACTATGCTGCAGTAGCCAGGGCTTTAAGAGGATTAAAGATGTAAACCGGCTGCGCAAGGAAACAAGAACTGGTTGTCCTGCAATGATGAGGATGAGAATGGTGGACTCCAAAAGATGGAGAGTACTTGAAGTTACTCTTGAACACAATCACTTGTTAGGTGCAAAAGCATACAAGTCCATCAAGAAGACAGGTGCTGGAAACAAGAAAAAGTTGGATTCTAACTGTGATGCTGAAGTCCGCACAATCAAGTTATATCGGGCACTTGTGATTGATGCAGGTGCGAATAGGAATGCCAATTTTAGTGTAAGGAGGTGCAAAACTACATCTGATTGTCACGACAAGCTGAATTTAAGAAAAGGAGATACGCAAGCCATGTATAATTATTTCTGTCGAATGCAATTGACAAACCCAAACTTCTTTTACTTGATGGATCTGAATGATGAAGGGCAGTTGAGGAATGTATTCTGGGTTGACGCCAGGTCAAGGGCGGGATATGCTTACTTTATTGATGTGATCTATTTTGATAATTCATATTTATGCAACAAATATGAGATTGGACTTGTGGCATTTGTGGGCACAAATCACCATGGTCAATCAGTGTTGCTGGGCTGTGGCCTACTTGCGGGCGAGACAAAAGCCTCTTATGTTTGGGTGTTCAAAGCTTGGCTCACCTGCTCACTTGGACGTTTCCCTCAAACAATTATTACAGAAAGATGCAAGATTTTGGAGAGTGCAATCAGTGAGGTGTTTCCGAGGTCTTCTCATTGTGTTGCTTTATCACACATCATGAGGAAAGTTCCAGAAAAGTTGGGAGGGTTGCGTAACTATGATGCTATTAGAAAGGCATTAATTAAAACAATATATGAGGCTCTGAAACCATTTGATTTCGAAGCATCATGGAGATTTATGATCCAAAGATTTGGAGTTGGTGATCATGAGTGGCTTCTTTCACTCTATGATGACCGAACTAAATGGGCTCCAGTTTATTTGAAAGATACTTTTTTTGCTGGAATGGCCACTGCCAGGTCTAATGAGACATTGACTGCTTTTTTCGATAAATATTTGCACAAGCAAACTCCCCTAAAAGAGTTTCTTGACAAATACGAATTAGCTTTGCAGAAAAAGTACAAGGAAGAAGCGGTTGCAGATACAGAGTCAAGAAACTCGAACCCTGAACTCAAAACAAGATGTTCCTTTGAGTTGCAGCTTTCAAAAGTGTACAGTAGAGAGATCTTCAAAAGAGTTCAGTTAGAGGTGGAGGAGATGTATTCTTGTTTCAGCACAACACAGTTACATGTTGACGGGCAAATGGTAATATTTTTGGTGAAGGAGCGTGTTTTGGGAGAGGGAAATAGGAGAGAGATACGGGATTATGAAGTTCTGTACAACAGAGCAGCAGCCGAAGTTCGTTGTATTTGCAGCTGCTTCAACTTCTATGGATATCTGTGCAGGCACGCGTTGTGTGTACTGAACTTCAATGGTGTGGAAGAGATCCCTTCAAAGTACATTTTATCACGATGGAAAAAGGATTACAAGCGATTAGGTGCATCAGATCTTGAATCCAGTTCTACTGAGTCTACTGAACACGTTCAATGGTTTAGCCAGTTGTATAGAAGTGCATTACAAGTTGTGGAAGAAGGGGTGATATCCCTAGATCATTATAAAGTAGCTCTAAATGCATTTGAAGAGTCTCTGACCAGAGTTCACCACATTGAAGAAAAACTAAATAAATATTCTTTGTAATTAACGTATCTACTTTCAGTCCTTGTAATGATGTAATCGAGGGGTGTCTGAATATCTTGTTTATAATGATTATAGAACTGGGTTGATATTAATACATATAGTTCTTGCTTCATTTACAATCTCGCCCGTTTTCTTTAGTTTACTATTAACTGCCCTGCTTTTTTAAGCTTTCCAGGTGAAAAATGAAAATCTGAGTAACAAAACTCACTCTCTTTGGAACTCAGAAATTGAGAGAACTTTATTATTTTTGTAACTTATTTGAGCAAACGTAGAACGGCATTTAAAGCATGATATTTGTTCTTCTATAGGCATCAGCTCATGTATTGTATTTTCTTATCCGACCAGTTCTATTTTCTCCCAGAAGAAAAGGGATAATCTTCTTTTTGTGTTTGTCTAGTTCCCTTTTTGCTGTGTTTAGGCTATTGACTACCTATAATGCACTTTGAAAATAAAAATCTATATCTATCTATAGAAAACCCCTTAGCGACATATTGTTCGCCTTTTTTACCCTTTAACTGTGGATTTCACACTAGACAAAATAGTCATTCTATTTCCTAATACTTAATAATTAATTAAAATTTTGCTAATTAAGTTTTTCCTTATTTGAATGATGTAGGAAGTCCTAATATCTAGGACTTAAAGCCAATTATATATAATTCTTTTCTTTTAGATTTTATTACTTGAACACAAAATAAGTTAAACAGTAATTCTAAACTAAATATTAAAACATGCTTTAACTTAAACACTCTCTTACCAAATCCTGGAACAGTTCAACTCTTCTTAAAAATGTCGTTCAATTTGAACTGTAAGGATTAAAATATTTTAAAAATAAATTTAAATTAAAGAATTTATTTAATAACCATTTAACCAGTAAAAAAAGATGGGCATTGCTTTGCAACGGAATGGAATACATTTTTCTCCATAAGAGTATGAAGATTCACGTTTATTTTTTATATAATATTTTCTCTATTATATTTTGTTATTAAACTAAGTAATATGTTTTCTCGTTTATTAATTGCTAACAGTTGATATAGTATTTTAATTTCTTAATGTTAGACAAAGTTAAATAAAAATATTACTATCACTGTTGAAGGTGTATATACTGAAATTTGCGTTTTCAACTATTTTCTTACTTACATATTAAATTAAAACTAAGAAATATAACTTAAGAGGAAAAAAAAACTACACTTTGATAGGGATGTATATTTTAAAACTTAATATTAGTTATGTCGAATTAAATATGAATATTACGTTTACTACAAAGCTAAAGTGAAGATTTTATTATTCTAAAAAATATAATGGTAAATTAATTAGTAAATTTAAATTAATTAATAAGTACCTTTGAGTGGTAGCATAAACTATCTTCAAGCTTTCAAGCAAAAGCTGAAAAAGTTTGCTTCTCTAGAAAATACACTTTTGATATTTTTAGGATATGAATACCCATATTGAAAATTCATATTAAACAAACTAATTCGTAGTAACTTTCTGGATTTTAGAATTATCTATTAAATTTTTATAAAGTTATTTATCTATATTATATTACCGTAAGCTAAAGAATAATTAAGTGAGAATACCTTAAAATGTAAGATTATGTATGTTGTTGGAAGTAAGGTTTGATTAAAAAAAATAAAAGGATATTTAACATCAATGTTGAGATTAAAAATAATATACTTTTGAAAATTTTAAGCTTTTGTTTTGTTAAGATTTGCTTGAATATTTATGAGGTCAATAAGATGAAGCTCATATTAGGTACTAGAGCATACATATGGTTTAAGGTCATCGAGAATACTGGATTATTGCATGATATGTAAGTATAAATCAAGATATTATTATATTAGGTCCGAGCTACTAAAATACTCCCTCCGTTTCAGTTTATTTGAACCTATTTCCTTTTTGGTCCGTTCCAAAAAGAATGATCCCTTTCTGAATTTGGAAGCAATTTAGCTTAAACTTCCAATTCTACTTTAATGAGAAGCTTTTATAGTCACACAAATACTCTGGGCCCATTTTAACTTGTTTAGGACCACAAATTCCAAAAGTCTTCATTTTTTCTTAAACTCAGTGTCCAGTCAAACAAGTTCACATAAATTGGAACAGAGCGAAACTCATATATTAAAGTTATGATAAAATATTAAAGTACTTTTTTATGATATAATTTTTTCTTTATTAAGTTGGATAAGCAGGATCAATATTCATTATTTTCAAGATGTTGTGCTTTTTATATATTTATTTTATAACTCAATCACATAATTTAATAATAATTGTGGAATTTTTAATATTTTAAACTTATTGATATGAAATAGAAGCGTAATGTGCGTATCCTAAGACTAGTAGTAATAAAAGTTACTCAAGTATTGTATACGGGTATATTACACATTATACTAGTGCCTCTTATTTCAAACCAAAAAGTGTCATATATAAAACAGGGAAAATCTGAAACTGGTCCTCATTTCCCCGCTTCAATTCTCCCGCCATTTGTGAAAAGGAAAGAGCTCCAAACCCTAACTGGCCTAGCAATTTCTCGACGAACTGGTATGTTTCTCCTCTCTCGAAATGTAACCTAATCGTTGATCGATGTTCCGTCATATTTCATCTATTTGAGTTTTCAATTTTGCTGGTATTTGCAAATTGCAATCGATTACTTGCTAATCGACGTTTCCCGGGACTGATACAGTGGTTTCCTATTTATTTACTTTTGAAATCGATAGTTGAATGGTCAATATAGAACATTAGGATGTATATAGAGTCCCGTATATCTATTTACATCCATATTTTTATCTAGCTTGCATCTCTGAGGTCGTAATTGAATTCTAGGGCTCCTAGATTATTGATTTTTGCATGCACGGTAGCTAGTGGCGGAGGCAGAATTTTCGCTAGGGGGTTCAAGAAAGAAAAAAGTTAAAAAATTAAATGAGATTGTAGCTAGTGGGAATTGAACAGATGACCTCACAAAGATTTTGTACCACCTTACCACTAAGCTATGCTTTTGGACTATGTCAAGGGGATTCAAAACATAATATTTTGAGATAAAAAATAGATTTTGCTTTATATGCAGTGTAATTTTTCGGCATCCGTCCCTGACCCCCTAAATCCTTCCCTGACTGTAGCTTGTGCAGTTTGGGTCTGTATCTATAGTTCTTACTACTGGTCTGGAGTATTTTACACTAGCGTTGCTGGTTAATTTATTTACTGCATGTATACTGAGTGATGTTATGACTGTCTGAGTTCAGTAGGCATAAAAGCTCTATTTGCATATCTATGAATTAATTATTCCTCCAAGACTCAAACTCAAGCTAGTCCAGGTCAGCTAAGAACCTCTATAGTTGCATATGTCGTTTATTCCGAATCCCCTGATATTTTCATAAATACTGAAGAGATCACTTGGTCTTGCAGTAATCTCGGGGGTACACATTTCCTTGTAGAATATTGAACAAAATGAAGTTCAGGGCATTTCTAACAGACAATGGTGTCAACCTCCTGGATAAGAGGTTCCTTCCAGCTCTTGACAAAATGGGAAAGATCTGCTACCTTTACCTTACGAGAGACCATGTATATTTTCTCCATAACCTCCTCAATGGTGATGGCATCCAATCCATTGCTCAATTCCGCATTGAGGCACTGTTTGATGAGTATCGCATCTCTAGCCAAAATGATGATCGGATATCTTTCACTATTGATCTTTCTCTTCTGCACCGTGCCCTTCGTAGTATCATTAGTATTTACACCGAGTTCAGTGCCAGTCACGGTGGAGATCCCGTCGGAGACAGTGCCCCTAACCGCCTCCAGATCAAGCTGGTAAAGAAGCTCCCTCCTCATTCTCAACAACCTATGCCTTTTCTCACTTTAGAGGCAAAAGGTTACAGGTCTGCTGTTATTCAAGATGTGCCCATCTCTAAGCCCTTGTCAAGGTCTGATGTACTTGAATTACAAGCAGCCCTTGATATGGCTCAAGATTTGCCTCAGACACTTATACGAGTCCCAGATATGCACCAGTTACAGAACTTCGTGGATCGAATGAAAAATGTTGGTGATGTGCTTAATGTTTCTATAAGTAAGTATGGTGATCTCCATCTGCAAGTTTCTACTACCCTGATTACACTTGGTGCTGAGTTCCGGAAGCTGTTAGTTATTGGAGAACAAGCAGAGAGCCCAACAGGTGACCAAAATTTGAGTGCTCAGTCAAGAACAAGAATAGCACTTCAGAGAGGAGATGCAATGATGGTTCAAGTGAGTGTAAAGCATTTCTTCAAGAGTCTTCAGTGTCACTTGGCAAAACCTGATTGCGCTTTCTATGGTATCGCTCTGCAGGGTGCTTGCCTAACAGTCATATTTCAGTTCTTCATTCCAGGGACACATCAAACAGATAAGGCAATTAGTCTACACTGCCGACTACCTGTCCTTGACCCTGGATCTAGTTGAAATGTCACTGAATTAAGATTTGTACTTCTTTGTCTTAGAAGTTCTTTGGGATGTTAATCATCCTACATTCCATGTAGGTCAAGTGAGAGTTGTCATAGCTGAACGCATCAGTCATCATGACATGGATTATAGTTTCCTGTCTGTATAATTAAATGAAGCCTTGATTGCGTGGATTCAACTCTTTGTCCTGCACTGGTGCTTCTTTCTCCCTAATCTTTTGCTAGTCTTGGAAGGCATAATATGTGTTTTCCTGATACTTGTATGGTGTGTTCTAGATTTCTATTTTGCTTTGGTTTTTATTGGTACTCGTTTGGTGTTTTTTAACTTTCTAGTGTGCCCTTAGTTTGCATGCCGCAGCTCTCACAATCAGAAGTAGCACTTAAAAGGCTAGGATGACAGATTAGTGTATGGTTAAGGAAACTAAAAGTAAGCCAGAAGATCTGTATCTTTCCTGTTTTCTTCGGACTATAAGAATCTCTTGGTGAAGGTTAACAAACAAATATAATGTTTGCTGAATTACGTCTTTACTCATGTATTTTTTTTGTAAAGATTTACTGGGAGAATTTGTTCAGGATACTTTATCATAAGCTTGTTTCTTTAATCGTAAAATGTACTAATGGTTACTTCGGGTTTCTCAGAAGTGAGTTCCTTAAAGCATGGGATTGTTCCGATAGAAGAATGCTAGAGTAGATGCATATTGCACCAAAGTAGTTTATTCTTAGAGTCAATTACTCATATGGTCACTCAACTATCTCAAATTATCTCCTAAAGTCACTTTTCTTTCATTTGTAACAACAAAGTCACTGAACTACGTCTATTGCATTCAGAAGGTCACTCAACTAGATTTTCCAAATTTTGGATTGCCAAATACCTATTTTACCCTCTAAATTATAAATATTTATCTTCTTTTAATTTTTTGTAAACTTTTTAATATTATGATTTTCCCTTTGTAATTTATAATATGGACTTACCTATAGAATAAATATATATTATTTATAAATTAAAAAAATAAAAAGTATTTAAGCATCTATAATGCTGGAATAACAAGATAATGAGCATAGTAAAAAAATTAATAAGAATAATTTGTTCGTAATAATAATTTTAGTAGTAACAACAAAAATTCAAAAATTTATTCCATGCACATAATATAAAACAATTATTTAAATAAAAGTACTTTTTTTTTTGGTAAATAGCATTTCTATTCATTCCAAAAATTGACTTTATAAAGCAAGTAGATGCTGACCATCTACACTCCTATTTACATCAAGCATGTAGTCTAAGTAAAATACACTTCGACTAAGTAACTAAAAACAAAACAGCAGAATCCTATACATCAGTAAGAAGGACATTCGCCTAAGGATAACAGTTACGCTTTTCGAGTGCTCCTTGCCAATGCTGTATTAATCGACCCCTCGTGTGTATATGGACTGCTATTTCTCTACAAATGCTGCTTGCAATAGTTATCCCACCCTGGAATCTGAGTTTGTTCCTTTCTCTCCATATGGTATATATCATCATACCAAAGACAAAAGTAACAATTGCCCAATGTCCATTCTTCTTTGTAGCATACTGACTTATCCATACCACTTCACTCTGCCAATCTCGGATAGTTCTACTATGCCCAAGCCATTTCAGTAGTCTCGGACATAATTCTTTAGTCATAGTGCACTCAAAGAAGATATGATCAAATACTTCATCAGCTTGCTTACAGAAGATACATTGTTGGGGAATCTGAACCCCAAACTTCAAGAGCCTATCAACTGTAGCTAGTCTCCTTTGCAATGCTAACCAAAGAATAAACTTGAATCTGGGATGTAAATTTGGTTGCAAAACAATACCTTTCCAAGGTACTTTTTGGAGTTGAGGGAATTGTAATCTATAGAGTTTCCTGATACTGAAAGATTCACCCTTCTGTAATTGTCCCAGTCTGCTCATAAGATCACCCTGAATTCTTTGAACTTCTCCAATGAATTTCCTTGTTTCCAGTATTTTTCGAACCACCCAAGCTGCATTCTTGGGTATTGGCATGTGCTCCAACATGTTATGTTTTATATAGAAGGTATGAATCCACCTAATCCATAAACAGTCCTTCTTTTTTGCCACTGCCCACAAGTGCTTTGCTACAGCAGTTTTGTTCCAATATACCATATTCATCACATTTAGGCCTCCTACAACTTGTGGTAGACAAACTTTCTCCCATGAGACCAAGGCCTTTTTAGAGACATTTGATGTACCTGTCCACAGGAAATATCTGCATATAGTTTCAACCATCTTCATCACTTTTTTTGGTAGAAGAAAAATTTGTACCCAGTATGATTGAATCCCAAACAGAACTGATTTGATCAGTTGTACACGCCCTGCATATGAAAGTAGCCTTGCTGTCCAGCAATTTATTTTCTGTGCTCTACTAAAGGCCAACACTGAATAATTGAGAGCTTTTTAGATGCCAAAGGAACCCCCAAGTACTTAAATGGCAAGGTACCTTCAGAATACCCCCAACTCTTGCAAAATATCCTGCTTCTGAGCCTTTGAAACACCAGCTAAATGGACAGAACTTTTATCTGCATTTGCTTGAAGACCAGAAGCCTCAAAGAACTTTAGGAAGGTCTGCTTTAGCAACCTAATAGACTGAACATCAGCCTTACAGAACATAAGCAAGTCATCTGCGAAACAGATATGCACCACTCCAAGTTTTTTACACCTGGGATGAAACTTGAATTCTTTATTTTTCATCAATTGTGCAAACTCCCTCTGTAAATACTCCATAACCAGAACAAAAAGATAGGGCGACATTCGGTCCCCTTGCCTTATCCCCCTTCTTCCTTTTAAAGGTGTTATTAGTCCACCATTAATATTTAGAGAGTATGACACTGATGAAATATACTCCATAATCCAGCTTGTGAACTTATGAGGAAAACCTAGTTCTAACAATATTCTTTCCAGGAAAGACCACTCTAATGTATCATTAGTTCTCCTCAAGTCCACTTTTAGTACGCATCTTGGGGAGATTTCTTTCCTATTGTATCCTTTGAACAATTCATGTGTGAAGAGGATGTTGTCAGTGATACTACGACCCTCAATGAAAGTTGATTGTGACTCCCCAACTAGCTCTCCATTGACCTTCTTAATTCGAGCAGTTATAACCTTTGTGATTATCTTGTACAAAGTTGTACAACATGCTATAGGTTTGTAGTCTTTGACATGGCTTGGATTCTGCACCTTAGGAATTAAGGTCACAACAGTGCTACTGACTCCTCTATGCATTTTCCCAGTTGCAAAAAACTGTTTTGTGGCATCACAGATGTCATTCCCCACCTCCTGCCAATGCTTAGTGAAAAATTCAATAGGGAACCCATCTACCCCTGGGGCATTTTCATGAGGCATATCCTTACTTGTATTTAAGATCTCCACCCGTGTAACTTCTTGAATCAATTCTTCTTTCTGCTGGAGAGTAAGGCATGGCCCTTGGTGTATAACTTCTGAGTTTGGGCATCTGTGAGCATTGCCACCTTCACCCATGAGCTTAGTAAAGAAAAAAATGAACTCATTCTCCACGGATCAGTAAGCTTTACTCCATTGTCACTATATACTGAAGCAATAAAATTCTTGCTTGTCCTCAATTTCCATTGTGCATGGAAATATTTTGAATTTGAATCACCACATGCTATCCAATTTGCTCTAGATTTTTGCTCAAGAACCTGTTCTTCAATATTACTCCATTTCTCTGTCTCTGCCAATGCCAACCTCTCTTGATCAATCAAGTTCTGGTCCAAATGATGAGTCATAAGTTGATTCTGGATGATTTCTAGCTTGTGTCTTGCCTGATTCAGTCGGTGCTTATAAGAAGCCATGTAAGTATTCAAGTCTTTTAGGTCCCTCTTCAACATTTTAACTTCATCCAGATCCTCTGCATTGGTTCAGCCTTAACATCCTGCTTCAATACTCTTTCAACTATCCCTTTGAGGTCTGCATGCTCCATAACTGATCCATATAGTTTGAAAGGCTTAGGGTGTATTCCCCTCTGCTGATTTCTTTGACTACATTGGAGTAATATAGGAGAGTGATCAGATACCTTTGGATTCAAAAACTCTGCTTCAATATGGTTGTATTGTTGTAGCCATTCAAAATTCCCAAAACCCCAATCAATCTTGCTATACACTCTTTTATCAGGTTGTTGTTTGTTGCACCAAGAATAGTGCCACCCTAAACTCTTCACCTGAGAAAGCTGTAATGTATTTATCATATCCTGAAAGCTTGAGTCTCAGCTTGTGTAACTGGTGTTCCTATCCTGTCATCAGTATGAAGAATATTGTTGAAATCCCCACTAAGCAACCAGCAATCCCGGATATTAGTCCCTATCTGAATGAGTTTCCTCCATAGTTGATTCCTTTGGTTACTATCATTACTTGCATAGACTACAGTTACCATAGCCTTAAAATTGGAATTTGTCTCATGAATTTCACAATGTATAAACTGATCATCAATCACTAAAATCTGGATATTTACATTACTCTTCCACAGTAACCAAATCCTACCATTTGGATGTGTATTATAATTGCAACAAGCACTCCACTCCCTTGCCACTTGTTTCATGATTCTAGCGACCTTCTTTTCTTTAACTCTTGTTTCCAAACACCCAATAACATCCACCTTATACTTCCCCAGAAAGAGCCTAAAATCCTTCTGTTTATAGGGCTTATTCAGCCCCCTTACATTCCAAGTACAGAGATTCATTCTTGGGTGAAGCTAGAATGGCCAGCGTCCCCTTGTATTGTGTCTGTGTCATTCATCTGCAATATTCCAAATCTGTTGCTAGAGCTAATTGATGCATCTGGAGCTTGTTGGACAGCCTTGCCTTTAACAATTGTTCTAACATTTTGATCCTTCTGCCCTGATTCCTTACATTTGTCATTTGCCATTTGATTACAACCTTCTGGCATAGCCTGTTTTACCAATCCTGTTTGCACCCCTTCTGTCTCAACTACTGTTTTACCAATTCTGTTTGCACCCCTAATGGACCAGCTTCATTCCCCCCTATGCTCCTTTGGTAGCCATTTTAGATTAGTTTTGTTCTTGTTCCTTTTCCTCTTTGGTTGCTCTATGAACTCCTTCTCCATTTCCTGCTTGTCCTTCAACCAACATTCATTTGAATTATGTCCAAATCTGATGCATTCACAACAAAATTTAGGTTTCCAATCATATTCAATCTGCTGGTTGATTATCCCTCTTGGAGTTTGTATTTCAAAACTGTCAGGTAGAGGATGTGAAATATCAGCTTCAACAAGCACTCTTGCATATGATACCTTCTCCATCTCAGCAGTAATTCTATCTGTGTATAGAGGTTTCCCAACAACACTAGCTAGCTTGCTCAATACTTCTATGGACCAAAAACCTAATGGAAGACCCGAAAATTTGATCCATAAAGGAATAACACTCATACACCCTGGGTCAAACTTGAAATCCATACTCCAATGTTGCAGAATCAGAGGTTTGTTATGGTAAGTATACGGTCCAGCTTGTAAAACCAAATCCCTTTCCTCAATGTTTTGGAATCTAAAAATATAGTATCCTTCATCATGATAAAGGATTTGGGGCTTTTCAACAAAATTCCAAACATTAGTAATGTAATTGTCCATTGATTTCTCATAAGAATTATCACCCAAAACATACCTAATCAGCGCTGTACTCCAGTAAATTGCATGTCCCCTTGTATCTTCTGCTTCAATTTGCACAATGAACGTACCTTCTCGTATAGCAGGGGGAACATAATTCAATGTCTTACCCATTTGTGAGCTTCCATTCTTATGCATGGTAGGTACTTCTTCCTTATTCCCAATTTTCTCTGAAGGTGCTATTGCTGAAGGAATTTGCACAGTATTTCCTGCTGTTGAAAATTGCAATCGTCGGTGAACTGCTTCCATATTTTCCTTCACTGCAGATTGTTCCCCTTCACACTCAATTTCCTCCATAATTGGTTGAATTTTTTGTGGTAGAAAACTTCCAAACGTCAATGGCATCAGTTTCTGTTGAATTTCGATGTCCGGCGTAACTGTCGCTCCATCAATTTCCACACCTTGAGCTGGATTGTGAAAGACTGTGGGTGCACTTCCCATACCCGTTAGCCATCGCACAGGTTGAGATTGAGTAGGTTTTTCCATATTTCCTTCATTTTCCTTTACTTCCGTCGGTGATGGAAGCTTCTTCCTTTGTCTAGCCATGGCAGAAGCGTACGTTAGCTAAACCTTGCTAAACATGCGCCTCTTCGATATAGTTGTTCGTACTTAGTCCTTATAATATAAAAGTATATTCTTGAAAATTATGCTCAATTATATTATATATATTCCTTGCACGACTTAACATAGCATATTTTACCTATACAGATAGTCCCCCTACTTTCCGGTGACATAACTTTGTGTCGTCGGAAAGTTGGTAGAAACATAATAATATAATTGAGCATAATTTTCAAGAATATATAATGTAAATTATAATAATACATTTATTTAAATAATTATTATTTTTTATATTACGTGCATGGAATATATATTTTGCAACCTTTATTTTCTTTCATTCTGAATTGTGTAAATAAATTTTTGAATTTTTGTTATTGATAATAAATTATTATTACTAACAAATTATTCTAATTAATTTTTTTTTACTATGCTCATTATTTTGTTATTCCGGCATTATATATGCTTAAATACTTTTTATTTTTTAATTTATAAATAATATTTATTTATTCTAAAGGTAAGTCCATAATATAAATTAAAAAGGGAAAATCATAATATTAAAAACTTTTTAAAAAAATAAAGAAGATAAACGGTTATAATTTAGAGGGTAAAATAGGTATTTGGCAATCCAAAATTCGAAAAATCTAGTTGAGTGACCTTCTGAGTGCAATAGGCATAGTTAAGTGACTTTGTTGTTACAGACGATAATAAAGTGACTTTAGGAGATAATTTTGGAGATTATTCTAAAGGTAAGTCCATTTGAGCAATGAACTCTTTATTCTTATGTGTTAATCATTTAACATGCATTCTTTCTTTTCTTTCATTTGTCATTAATTCTTGGTATTTTTCTGAGTCTCTTGCTTCTCGATAAGATGATTTGTTTTCTTCAGTGCGGTTGCATATAAAGCTATTTCAAATTTTTATGCTATCCTTCAGACCGGCGAATCAAAGTAAAAATTAATTCACATTTTCAACGGAATTTGATTTTTTGGGTCTTCGGATTTTTAAAAGTTTTTTTTTTTTTACTTATATGTACTACGCTAAAAACTTATTTAGCCTCACCGTTTAGGTTTTAACTTAATTATAAATTGATATACAATTTACCAATTATATACAAAATAATTTTAGTGAGTATCCCTTTATATTAGGAATTGAATGGATAATATCAGTTATTCCCTCTTCGCTCTCTCTCTCAGATCTCTTTTCTCATTTTCAACTCCGAAAATACTCTTCTATAACCATTCTCTTCAATTCCCCCTATATGCCACCATTGAGCAATGAATCTCAGCATAAAATAGTGCAACTTTTCAGGAGATTAAACTAATATTGGAGTTATTTTCTTATTTGTCCTCTTTGAAATCTCGAGTTTGTATTAAGGAAGCATCCAGGTATTTTTTTGGTTTCAAAATAGATGAAGCATTCAGATTGGTAGTAAAAGTACTAAAAGTAAATTTCAAATTGACAGTCATTAAAAAATTTCGAAGCTTTAAATTCGAATTTGGGTTTATAAAAACTATTACTATTTGTTTAGATTGGGTGGTGTTGCAACTGATTGAAAATATTCTTTGAAGCTTATATCTCAATTTAGAGGATGTTTGGTGAAGATTAGAGTTAATTTTTCCTGGATTTCAGATTGAAACTCGAAGTCGAAGAAGAAGAAGACGACATGACATACAATATGCATACAAAATTGTATTTAAGTTGTACTCTATTGTGATTATATATTTTTTTATATTTGAATGTTGTATGAAAGTTGAAAAATAATTGTATAATGTTTGAATCAAATAAATTTGTATTTAAGCTATAAATACAATCTTTTTACATAAAGTTGTTGATATGTACCAAAGTTGTCTTAAGAGAGGAAGTTATATTCGGAATTCAGAGCATAAGAAGAACACATCACATACAAAATATATACAAATCATATACCAATTATATATTAAAGATGTATTGTATAAAATTTGTATGAAATTTTTAAGTTGTATAATGTTGTAGTTGTATTTAATTGGGTAAAAATAATATATGAAACTTGTAGACAATTCAATTCCAAGTATTATACAAAAAGTGAAACATCTGCGATAAGGATATCATTTTAGTTATGCAACAATCCAGAAACTTGAAAATACAACCAATTCTTATTTCAAATGAAGCATCACT